TGAATGTAGTCTCTGGGGGAGGGATAGACAGCCCCTGGTATTTACTCTTTCCTCCTTAACAAACACTTGGCTTGACATTAGGTCAAGTCATGTTGTAAGGTTGACCTCTTCAGATTGAGAATAGTGGAGGAAGGTATTGGGTTTTCTAGAGGCAGAATTTAACAAGTTAGTCTCCTTTGAAATAGAAAATTTTCTAGGCATCTATGCCAGGACTGAGCTCAACTACAGTTTTGTACTTCAGTTGTTGGATTAACTGTTAATGGATTTAGTGTGTGATATTAATCCCAGTAATTTTCCATTAGTCTTAACATTTGCTTCTTTTAGGGCACAGTCTGAAAAAATGAAATCTTACTACAAACCTAGGTGGCTAGTTTTCAAGTGATAGTAGCTACAATAGATCACAATTCATGAATGAATCACCAGAGCTACTTGCTAGGAGAAGACTTAGCAAATGTTAGGAGGCTGTGTATCTGCATCCATCCCAAGCAGTCATACCAGTTTTTAATATTTGTATTTCTTTCTCTTGGGTTAAAAGCTAAGGAGTTACAAAACTAGAGAAGGCTTGAAGAGAAAATGAGGTAGGGGGGAAGAAACCTGAAGGCATATGGCACAACAGAATACTGTGCCATGTTTCAAGGATATTAAAAACAAAAAAAAACCCTATAGAAACATGTTATGTTTGAACTGGTTCTTAGGTGGTTAGCTGCGTTAATGTGAAATCAGGCATAAGGCAGGGCAGAGTTGCACCTTAAAGACTAATTCATAGATGTATAAGGATCAGCGCACTTTGTCAGAAGCTAGGGCTACTTACAGACGTTAAAACAAAAAGCCAAAACAGTGCTTTACTTTAAACTCCGCATGTTCCCACGCTGAGCCCAGTGCATGCCCAGAAGAGACATCGCATTAGTTGGACCCAACTCACCCAATGTCTATATACATTGGGTGCTTTAGTGGGGCTGTTACTAAATAGCTGATTGACTCAGCTTTAGATATAAGCACCAAAAGGCCCTGCTGAAGTGCCTGATTTATGAAGATGCTGTGGAGCCAGGTCAAAGTAATGTGCTGCTGCTTCTGTAAAGCGCAGGATTTTTTGTTTGTTGTTAATGTCTACAAGCAGCCTAAGTGTGGTTTGACTTCGGGAGTGCCACTAAGCCACTTCAAATTTAAAGAAACAAACCCACAATGAGAGCATTTCAACAGTACAATTCAGTAGAGAGGGTTTGGTGTGGCAGGTGAACGGCTGGTGCTTTAGGGGGCTGGACCCAACTCTCAGTTCCTATCGCAAGGTAAAGATCAAAAGGAAAATTAAGGGCAAGATTATTTCTCTCATGTTGTAGGCAGCTGGGATAGGTAAGGGAGTAGAGCTGGAGGATATTCCCTGTGGTTCCTCCCAGCTGTGCTTCAGCCAAACTATTATCATCACATAGCAGACAGGCAATTTTTCTTCTTATAAAATAACATTTATTACTATTTTAAACAAGTCTCACAAAGTAACATTTAGAAACAGGCCTAAATTAATTTAATACAGCCATTATAACAACTTGGTCATGCTATAAAATTACTGTATATAAAAGATTGCCAACAAACTAGGTGTTAAAACCAGTCTCCCATTTGGAGTTTACTCAGAAGTCAAGACTTCCAGTGTAAGCTGAGTGGTCCACAAATAGATAGCAAAAAACACTGTTTTAACATAAATTCTCTTCTCTAATTCTTCCAACAGTTCGCAGTGTAATAGCTGCATGCATTGGCTGTTTAGTCCTATACCATGCTGGCAAACAAACACCCATCTATTTGCTATCACTCAATTTTAAGTTAATGCATGTCTATGTGGGAAAAGCAGGGAGAAGTTAACCCACCATATTTCTAATGACCAGAGCAGGATTCCACATGGCTTGAAATTTTATACGAGTGCTCCTTCCATCCAGGAGCAATGTGTGCTAGGTATCATAATGGACGTGGTGAAACATGGAAGATCAAACAGAAAAAGGAAACCCATCAAATTCACTGCAAGGCAGCTACTTTTTGAAAGTCTAGTTAAAGCTTTTCTATTTGCTTATTTGCAGTGTGGTACAATGATACCACCAAGCAAAGTTAACTGCTATACCTTTGCCATACCGTGTACTTTTCACCAACATCCAGTGCATATTTAAAGTGCAAATCTTTAAAAATTTATAACACCCCTTCCCCATTGTATTTTGCAAAGAAAACAAAAAAAAGTGGTGGCTAGGCTTCTTTTGACTTGCTCATAAAAGCAACCATGATTAATAAATCAGGCAGGGCAACATGGAGCTGAGTTTCACCTTGATTTTTCTGACAGGAAAGAATCCCACTGTCTGCCCATTCCTTAACACAGTGTTTCAGGTAAGCCTGTCATTAGCACTGCTATTATTTCAGGGGTGGGCAAAATGTGGCCCGCCAGGCCATTCTACCCGGTCCACAGGGCCCCTAAGAAAATTAATAAAATTAATATTTGTCTGCCCCTGGCTGCCTGTCCGGTGGCCCTTGATGACTTGACAAAACTCAGTAAGCAGCCCTCCACCTGAAATAATTGCCCGCTCCTGTATTATTTCAACATTGAATTCATCAAGTAACCCCAAGAAAAGGCTTATGTTTGGTGCGCACATGCCCCAGCCAGCCCGACACTGCCACACAGCTTGAGGCTGACTCCCCAGAGCCTGCTGCCAGCCTAGGCCTGCTCTACTCTGGCTCAAAATGCTGCTGTTCAGGGTGCGTGTGTAGATGCTGCACTTGGGAGTAGTTCACTCTGGCTTGAACTGCTCCAGAGTTTATTGCGCTGCATTAATTGCACACGTAGATGCACGCAATGTGTAGAACAATACAGGAGCCATGAATTCCACTTTGTTCTGTAAAGCTTACCCTAGTCTGTTCCTCAGTACAGCAGTATTAGGCACTAATTCCCACTTCCTATTCTGTTCTCATGGTGTTAGAGTGACATGTTGAAGAAGGCCAAGCATTTGAAAGCTTGTCAAACTTTATCCTAACCATGGAGTTCAATAAAAAAAAAAAAAATCACCCAAAAGAATCCCTGACTCACGATATTTGCCTCAAAATTTCTCAGTTCAGTCAGAACAGAAGAGCTACTGCATCTGTAGCTACTTGTATACTGGCATACCACCTGCAAAATAGGCTGCAGCATTGAAAGGTCTCTCTTACACCCACTCTGCTGTCTCATTTAATCTAATAGAGTTAATTAGCTATAATTTAATATAACCAGTGAATTCTTAATTAAAATGACAAAGCAGTAACAGCAGACTACATAAACTATTTTGTGCCTGCTGTTCTGACTGGCCATATTCTATGGTAACACTATTGCATATTCTTCTCTAAAGGGTGTGTTAGAGCTATTTTCAACTATCTGGAGTTGCTGTTTTCCGCTGCTTAACACCCTCCTTCCCACTTTATACACGCTCTCCAATGGGGCATAGAGGAGATAAAACAGGACTCCAGCATGACACAAGCATGTGATCGCTGTATGTATGGTGGTGACATGGGGCATTTTTTCTCTGAAAGTACAACTAGCAAAAGTGAGTCTGCTGTGGGCCCAGGAGCTACCCAAGATGAAAGCTGTGGGCAGTACTCCGAAGTAATTACATAAGCTACAGTTACCACTGGCCCTACTGTAACTAACACTGATATAGCAGGTATCCCATGTGCCCAGAGAATCACAGTATGTGTAACTTTGGAAAACCTTCATACCAAGACTTAGGAAGGGAATCCAGTTCAGAAAATAATGCAGACAGCAGGACAGGGTGGCACCTTAGAGAATGACTTGTTCAGAAAGGCATAAGCTTTTGTAGTCAGCACCCTACTTAATCAGGTGCTACAAATAGATTTGTTAGGGAACACGGGTACTAAATAGAAAGGAATAAAGGCATCTAAACA